CTCTCCAGTTTTAGCTTCTCTCCATTGGCTCCCTGTCAAATCCAGAACTGAATTCAAAATCTTACTTCTAACCTACAAAGCCCTCAACAACCTAGCTCCATCTTATTGTTCCATATTTTACTTGCTACATGATAATGTCAGCTCGCTTCAAAACAAGCATCGGAAGCTTTTTACATGGTGACTGGTGATTTTAATTATGTAAACCTAAAAGACACTGTCAAGATCTTAACAGCATGTGACCATACCAACACGGGAAACGACACCCTAGACCGTGTTTATACCAACATATGAGACACATATAAAGCCGTACCCTGACCCAACCCTGGCGTCTCTGACCACATCTACGTCGTTCTGGCCCCGGTCTACAGGACCTCCTCCTGCTGAGACATTCCAGACCCACACAGAAGGTGGACCAGCGACAGTGACTCTGTACTGCAGGACTGTTTTGAATGCACAGACTGGCAGATCTTCATTGAGGCAGCTGGAAATGAAGAACTGGATCAGGAGGAATACACATCTGCTGTCCTCAGATACATCAGCAAGTGTGTTGAAGACGTCACCACCACCAAGACTATGTGCTACCCGAACCAGAAACCTTGGCTGAACGCAGAGGTCATTATGTTCCTGAAAGCTAAGGATACTGTCTTCAGGTCTGGTGACTCACAGGAACTGGGGAGAGCAAGGAAAAACCTGGTTGCTGGTATTACGAGGGCCAAAGCCACAGACACACAGAAAATCCAAGGACAGATGCAGGAAGAGAGCCACCTGCATCATGAAGGACCCCACTCACCCAGCACACACACTTTTTGCCCCCTTCCCCTCAGACAGGAAGTTGCAGAGCATTAAGTGTAGAACCACTAGACTGAGGAACAGCTTCTACCCTGAAGTTGTGAGACTCATAAATCCCCAACCAGAATAATCACTGTGATGCCACTATAATTGGTGATATGACTTTATCTGTGCTGCTGATTATCCATGCTGCTGATCTCTTGTCTTTAAGCTGCTGTATTCATACCCATCTGCTCACAACAGACTCATGTTCAGGCTGCTGTTTAATACACCATATTCCATCTTTTACCCGCTTCTTCCATTTTGGGTCATGGGGGTCGCCGGTGCCCATGTCCTAATACACCATATTATTTTACATCATTATTGTTGAACTTATATCTTAGACCCTTGTTTTCTTTTTATACTTTATATTTTTTCTATTTTTGGGTGTAACTGGGAGCTTGTGTAGTTTCATTCCACCTCATGTACCACATGTGATGTGAATGACAAAGAACCTTGATTTTCTTAACAGAGCACTTCACTCTCAGGCTGCAGGTTTACTTGTGGTTCCTAGAGTTTCCAAAAGCAGAATGGGGATGGTTCTTGTGGAACCAACTTCCAGTTTCTGTCCATGAGGCTGACACATTGTCCAGTTTTAAGACTTTACTTTTGATAAATCCTATAGTTAGGGTTGGGTTTCCTGAGCTGTCCCTTAGTTCTGCTGCTATAGGCTTAGACTGCAGGAGGACTTCATTTCTCTCTGCTGCCGTCTTTACTTGCTCTTGTAATTATTTCTATCTTAACGTGTGGTTTTGTCTTCCCTCCTCGTTACGTCCACTGGTTTCTAGGGGTTCTCTCGCCAGAGGACAACCCGTGTCCTCCGCTGCTTGTTTACAGCGCACTGGCACACCATGCTGGAGTCTCTTCCTCCTCCACAGTGGACCCCCCCTGGGCTTGTGGTGTGGTTCACTCTGTACGAAGCTTTGAACAACTCTGAGATGATGCTTGTGATCTTCTGTGAACCGTTCTATTTAAGAACTTTTGCTTGGATGGGAAGTTTGGTAGAAGTTGTCGGACATTTTATTTTAACTAACTTTTCTGCTGTTTTGTGGCCAGCCAGGGAGCGGAGGAAGTGCAGTTTTAGTTTTGTTAGATAACAGGCGGTTTGTTGTCTGGCCTATAGGAGCTTTCTTTTGTTTGTTTTGGCCTTGGAGACCCTGAAGTTCATGCCTTCCTTTCTGTCTGTAACGTCCAGAAGTAATAGATTAATGTTATCGTGTCAAATTGGGCTGTTTTTGAGTTATTAGCTTTTTGTTTAGTTTACAATTTGTTACATCCGGTGCCTCCTGGACTCAGTCCAAGGGTTGTGAAGTTCACCTGGACCTGTCATTCTGTCTGTTTCTACTTCCTGTCCTCTCAGAGCAGCCGGTCGAAGCAGCTGGTCGCTCGTCCTGAGCTGGTTCTGCTGGAGGGTTCTTCCTGTTAAAGGAAGTCTTTCCTTTCCACTGTCTCCTTTGTGCTCGCTCAGGATGGGAGACTGAGACGAAGTGAAGATTCAACACAATCTGCTGCTTCCTCAGAACTTTACCGATTGTCTTTATAATGTGTGTAAATGTTTCTGTTCAGTGCTGAGACGACTTCTGCTCTGATCTGGACCTTCAGAAATAAACTGAACTGAAGAAATCTGGCGTTTGTGCTCAGACCGTTTTTCATTTGGTGCCATAGTCGTTCACACACGATAAAATAAGGTAAAAGTAAAGATGGGCCGCAAAGAAAAAGAAACATGAATCCACAAATCATCAGTTAGGCCTTGTAATCATGACGTCATCGACCTCTTCAGAAACCTGGAAAGGAACCAGAAGAGGAAAGCTGACTGAAAAGAATAAAGTTGGTTCTGAGAGAAAAGGACAGGAACGGTGGAGAAAATGACACGGAGACGACTGCTGGAATGAATTAAAGTGGAGAAACTTGCATTGGATCAAAGTAACTCCCGCAGGAAATCCCTTTTAATGAGATCTATACAAGGAGAGGGAGGAAACGAGAAGAACGGCAGAAAAAGAGAAGTTGCCGTTCCTACAACGGGGGGGAGAATCATGTAAGGGGGGGGGGGGCTGTGGTGGGACAAGGGGTGTTTTAACGTCTTCACCGTGGGAGCGTCAGAAGCAAGGCCAGGTTAATTAAACCCGGGGGGACCAGCTGAGGGGGCACACATTTCAATATGTCACCGCACAAACGTGTCGGCTGAGGCCGGATGGAAGAGCTCGTGAGCAAATATGTTGACTCTGCATTAAACTCTAAAAGAAAGAGTTAATAAACGCTGTCAGAGTTGGGGGGGGGCATGATGTGCATAATGTTTTGCTCATCTTTACAGACTGTGCCACCGGCTTTCACTGATTTAATAATGTTTGTCATTAGCAGTATAATGCTGGAGGACTGTGACTCAACCCCCCCGCCCCCCCCAAAAAGAGGAGGTTCAAGAAATTTATATGGGACAAATATTGACAATAGCTGTCTCCTGGGTGCTGAAGAAGAAAAGATGCAAACTATGTTAATGAATGGTAATTAAGCGTTGGGCTCGTCTCTCCTGGATCCAGATAAATTGGTCCCTGAGTTGCAGCGAGACGGTCCTGGCTTAATCCTTTATTATAAAAAGATAAAGGAAAACGACGTCATTAGCATATATTTGTGAAGGAAAGGGGTGGAGGGAGGATTAGAAAGTAGAATTATTTCTTCTTAATTCCTGAACGAAGAATTCCTCACACCGTTTTTAATTAAACATTACAAAAAGAAAGTGTTGAAAGAGGAAAACAAGGCAAGAAAAAGGTAAAGTAGAAGAAAGGGATGTGAACGGAGGAGTGGGGGGTCTCCTGTGTAGGATGCTAACCCAAGGACAGAGAAGACCAGGATCATGATTTATTATTCCAAATGAATAATAAGAGAGGTGGGAAGAAAACAGATAAAAGGAAGTGAGCTCTCATCACCGCCGCCCTGCCCCGCACGTCTCCGACCACACGGTTATTAATGACGTCAGCAGCAGGGGTCACTTGTTACAGACAGCAGCCTGCCAACAGGCAGCTGTCAATCAAGAGGGGCGTCCAAACCTGCTGTTCTGCAGGTCACCACCTCACACCTGCAACACTCAGCACAACAGAAAAATACGGTTCAGATGGATTTTAATTCACATTATGACAAAGTTGTTGTCACAGATGTTAAACATACAGGTCCTTCAAAAGTGCATTTACAAACGATACGAAGAAAAATGATTCTGCTTTATTTTACTTTTCTGCTTCATTTCTCCTCTGAAAGTTTCAGCTTCAAAGTGCCAATAAATGAAGGGCAGTGGTGGAACTCAAGTTCTGACGGACTCACTGCTGGCACCAAACACCCACACAGCCCCGACAGGAACAGGGTGAAAACAAACGGATCCAAAAAAGTCAAGTCGGCTCATCTGGACGGAGTCTTCTCGGCTGAAACGCTTCGTCTTGAAAGACTTCATCGGTCTGAGGACATGCCGACAAACCCAGTCTTATAAATGGCACCTTCTCAAAGTGGACCAGCTGGAGACCTCCAGAAGCAGCGAAAGGACCATCAGTGGTGATTACAGCAACCAGTAACCCAACAATCGATCGTGACTGCCCGATGGCTGCTTGAGGTTTATAGGACTCGGTTCGTGGCATGGCCTCAGACTGGTTTAGTCTCATTGAGCCTCGAGGACTCTTTTACAACCTGATTTAACAAAGAATGACGACAACAGTAGACAATCATCAAAAAGCATCTAAAATGAAAAGTAAACGGAAGAAATGAAATGAACAAAACGTCTTTCAAGACGAATCGTTTCAACCAAGAAGCGTCCGTCCAGACGAGCTGACTCAACGCTGTTGTGTTTATTCACCTGGATGACTGAGCGGACGTCAGGACTCAATGAAAGGCTAGTTAAATAAAGTTTATTAAAAAGCATTTTAAACATAAATACTTGGGTCTTCACTGAGAGTGGCTGCATTTTAAATGATCCTCAGTCTGATGGACGTGGCGCTGTGAGTGCTAACACAGATGTGGAGAGCTCATTTACAAACGTCGGGCTGCCGCGTTGGGCCGGTGCCTCAGAGTGAATCGACAGCACTTTTCTCACAAATATTGGTTCTGCTGCCCCGGCCCAGCTTGGCTCCCACCGAGCAGGAACAGGGCAGGAAAAAAGAAGAGGATGACAGTTTTCCCAGCCTCAGCCCGGGGAGTCAGGGATTTTCGCTGACTGGTGCTGCGAGAGCGGCCAGCTCTTCTGTCAGCACTTTCCTCTCCTTCATCTTCACGCGCATAGCCTCCATTAACTGTCCGGCAGAAGGGACCTGCAGGGGAGGGCAAAGATGGAGAGAAGAAAGAGGTTAGAAAACACACCAGAGCACTGAAACTAAAATAAAGCAGCAGAAACAACTGTTCTCAGGCCTCAACTCTGCCGCCCTGCTCACGCACGCACACCCCGTTAGGAGTGAAACCATCGCAGGTCTGCCATCATGAACACAAAAACTTCTACCCGCGGCTGCAGTCGGTGGTTTTTCTGCACAAGCAGCAGAACAACTTGAAGCAACAGCTGATATCAAAGTTCTGTTTGAGCTGCTGAGAGCTGAGTTTGGTTCTCATCGCCAGCAGGAAGTCAGACTCCTCCAGCTGCTCGTCGTCACAGATTCTCTTCATAACTTTTAGGGACAGAACTTCTCGGTGCAGCCAGGGGGTGGGGGGAGTCCAGTTCGGTGGCCTCGGGATTCCATCTGCTCTTTGCAGATGATGTGGTCCTGTTGGAGTCATCGTGATCTTCAGCTCTCACTGGAGCGGTTCACAGCCGAGTGTGAAGCAGCTGGGATGAGAACCAGCTCCTCCAGATCTGAGGCCGTGGTCCTCAGTCAGAAAGGGTGGATTGTTCTCTTCAGGTTGAGGGTGAGGTTCTGCCTCAAGTGGAGGAGTTCAAGTATCTCAGGGTTTTGTTCACGAGTGAGAGAAGAAAGGAGCACGAGATTGACAGATGGATTGGTGCAGCGTCTGCAGTAGAGTAGTCCCTCGTTTATCACGGGCGTTAGGGTCCAGACTCCCCCGCGATAAGTGAAAAACCATGAAGTAGGGACAGTAGTACAAGAGAAGTGCAGCTGGACAGCAAAGGGTTAACCCTTCACACTGCTCTGCAGAACGAAGCAGAAATGTATTTCTTATCACTGTAACAACAGAACATAAAAATTATAAAATAATTAAAACATAACTTAACACTTTTATATTTTGTGATTATGACGATGTTAGGAGTTGAAGACAAAAGTCGATCGGTTCATCTGGACAGCAAAGGGTTAACCCTGCACAAAGCTGCAGCAGCACACAGGACAAATGGACATTTATAGGATTTAAACTTTAACTAGAGAAATTGCATTTCCTGCAAAAATGCAGTGTGAATGTCTATTGTTGAAGAACTTGCTGAAAAACAGCTAAAATTAGCTAAAACATGCTAAAATGTAGCTGAAATGGAAGAACAAGCCTAAGTTAGCAGAAGAAGCAGAAAGAACGCATATTTGCTGAATTTGTTCTGCTCATTTCTGCTTATTTAAACCAATTAGTAAAGCAGCTAAAGAAAAGCTTAAATTAGCAAGAAACAGCTGAAAAGTAGCTGAAACTGTAGAAAGAAGACTAAATTACCAGAAGAAAGTGAAGAGCACAACTGAGCCCAGTTAGGCTGAAAGACGCAGAAATGTGCACATACAAATGGAAATTCTCTGGAAAAACAGAAATTTACAAAAATAAATACATTTAAAATAATATGTGCAGCATGGATTGTTTATTTAAACTATTACAGTATTTAAATTGTTTATTTACACAGAAGGAGGGAGATTGGGAGCGACAGGTGATGAGTGTGATTGCAGTGGAGAAGTGGGCGTGGCAGAGAGCAGAGACCATGACACGCACCTGTGGGCTGCACACAGGTGCAGCATGTGCTTAATCATTTAAAAATATATATTTAAAATAAAAATTCCATGCCGCCCGTGCAGCTCTCAATCAGTCGTGTGTCATGTCCAATCTTACTTTGAAAAACCGCAAAGTAGCGAGTGTCTATTGTATTGTGGACTTTGTGCTGGTCCGTTGTGGTGAAGAGGGAGCTGAGCTGTAAAGCAAAGCTCTCAGTTTACGGATGGGTCTACTTTCCTACCCTGACCTAACCGAACCGCTGCTCCTCCACATCCAGAGGAGCCAGATGAGGTGGTTCAGGCATCTGGTGAGGATGCTCCCTGGGCGCCTCCCTGGGGAGGTGCTTTGGGCATGTTTGACTGGGAGGAGACCCCGGGGAAGACCCTGGACACACTGGAGAGACTAAGTCTCTTGGTTGGTCTGGGAACATCTTGGAGTCCTCCCAGAAGAGCTGGAAGAAGCTGTGGAGAGAGATGTCTGGACCTTCCTGCTCAAGATGCTGCCCCCGAGACCTGAGTCCAGAACAAGAGGAAGATGATGGATGGATGGAAGGATGGATGGATGGATGAATGGATGGATGTTGGAGCTGCTCACCTGTTCCAACATGCAGAAGCAGCATGACCTCATCCTGGATCCAAACAAAGGGTTTTCTCATGCTGCAACAATTTGTGTCTTGTTCAAATCTGGCATCAGAGTTGCCAAATAAACAAAAATTACATTTTACCCCCTCCTTGTTTTGTGCACATGCACAATACACACCTCATCTTACCCCCCCCCCCTCCCCCCCCCCACCCCCAAGCCACCGCACCTCACTAAGCACATATGGTAGTTTAGTTAGGTCAAAATACAATAAATTTAAAGTGACTGTTCATTAGTTCTTCATTTTCTGTCTGGCAACCCAGCCTGGCATGGATGCTACAGCAGATTTGTGTAAACATATGTTGTTTATTTATGTTGATTCACAACAATAAACATTAAAAACATGAACATTTCCAGAGATCATTGTCGTGTAAGCAGGACCAACAGCTCCGGTTCTGAAAACAGTCCACCTGGGCCTTCTACAGACCTTCCGGTCTTGATTAAGGACCACAGTGGGGCTGGAAACAATCTGTTGCTGTGACGCCTCTGAGCCATGGAGAGCTGTAACAGTCCATACGTGTAAAGCTCCAGTGATGGCAGGCTTGTGTGCGACCTGCTGGTCACAGGACTTAGAACAGACGTCTGACATGCATCAGTGACGTTGAGGTTCTGTACGCCTCCTCTGGTTCCAGTACGCCCCATTCCTTTATGTAAAGTTAAACAGTCAGGACACGGCTGAGCTGTGAACAGCCAACACAACATAAACTGTGTTTGCAGCTACATGCACCGTATTTTTCAGTCTATAAGTCGCGTTTTTTTTGCATAATTTGCATGCCCTGCGACTTATACGTCGAAGCGACTTATTTATAGATTTTCCCATATTTACAAACAAATTTTTGGCCGAGATATGACCATTTTCATTCATTCTGACTGAAAATATTGAACACTACCATCTTCAGCCACTAGATGGCACTCGAGCCGTATGGCAAGCAAAAGTGGCTATTAATGACACAATCAGCTTGCCACAGCTGGCACCGTCGTCTGCCTGGAGCAACCGTCACATCAGCTTCATTTCACTGCACAGCCCCGGTGAAAAGCAGCTGATTTGACCATTAAAGTGAATTTATTAAGTACAAGTTCAACAGAGACGCACATTTGCTATAAAGTCGAGCAAATAAATAATTGTTTTTGTGTTAATCTTGTTAAATTCTTGTTAAAGTCCTTCCATGCACGCTCCCGCAGCCGCCATTTGGCAGCCAATCCATTTTTGGCACAACACCGGCCCACATTTCCAGGTTGTCAGCGGTGACATGTAACAAATGCGACGTATCCGGCGAAGCAACGCATTTATGGATTTTCCCACTTTATTAGACGTATTTGGACTGATGCGACTTAAAGGGCGGTGCGACGTGTACGGCAGAAAATACAGTACTGCTAAATTACTGTGAGTAAAGGCCACAGATATTTAGCTAAATATATTATGTATATACAGCAATAAGCTGTATTTGTCCACGCAAACATGCAAATGTTTGTGGGGGAGAACATTTACTTTGTAATAGTCTCAACAAATTGAGATTGTAACGGATGAGATCATAAATTGTGTATTCAAAGAAGCTTTGAATATTTTTTACAGACTTCTTTTGTCTGACTCGGTGCCCTGATCTGGTCACCATGAAACTTCTTCTGTGCTGAAAAGACAGAAAAAGAAAACAGGAGCAAGGACGAGCTGCACGTGCTCCACTTTGTTTGTCTGCGGACATGGATGTGGCTGGTACTGCTACCTACAGCAGGACGATTCTGTCAGAACATTGGTTGTTTTAAGTTGTTTTTTTTTTAACTATACTGAAAAAGATTAAGGTCAGGTATCTAAAACTACAATTGTGTCAGAAAGGAAATGAATCAGAGGAAGATCGTAGCAACAACAAAAATATTTAACATCCAAACAAGCAAGTTTTACCTTGAGACAGTCGGGGAAAAGAAAATCAATCCTTTAAACCCAATCAGTCCTTTAAGTGCTGAAAAATGTCAGCCATTGACTTGTTTTTATAGAACTGAGGACACATTTTCTCTGGAAGCCCAAGTCTGTCTTTTCAATGGAAGTGCCTCGAGGCATAATTGGCATCGCTGGGAACATTTATGGGATTGTTTGTTGTGTGAATCACTAAATGGCGTCAATACTGGGAAGAGAAGAGGATGACCACTGATGTCCACTAAATCATACATCATTCCAGGGGGTCAAAATGAGGAAAGTACCTGTTTGTGAGCTTGGTTGCTATGGAAACATGCAAAAGGTGTAAATAGAGTAGGTGCAAGTCTTCTTTTAGACCTCTAGATGGTTTTATTTTATCTTAAGGATTAATACAGGGAGTGGTGGCGCAGAGGTTAGAGAAGGTGGGCCTGTGATCGGAAAGCTGCCGGTTCAACTCCCAATGCAGACAACATCAAAATGTGTGTGGGAAAGGTGAAACACCCACACCTGCCTCCACCTTCATTTTCCCCACTCTGGGCCCCTGAGCAAGGCCCTTAACCTCCACCATCTGCTCCTAAACAGGTCTCTCTAGAAAATGAGTCGTCATGACTCAGTGAGACTACCTGTATAAATAAAGGCTAAATTAAAATAAAAAAAAGGTTTATTAATTCACCTGACAGATGAATATGTAACATGTTCATTCAATGCCATAAACATTTGGTCCAAATTACGAGCTGCCATTAAAATATTCAAAACATTTAAAAAATCTTTTCTATGAGCATCTGGGAATCTGAAACATCCCAAGCTTGGATATTTAAATAAAATCTGTTGGTCAAGTGTTTTAGTAAAACAAAACAT